CAGGTTCACCCATCACCTGGACCCAAGTTTAAAGCTCTCCTTAAGCAGCAGCCAGGCTGGGCCACCCCAAGGTTGGAAAGAGGGCAATTCCCATGGGACAACCAATTTTGCTGATGGGACCTTGACCATGCCAGGCCCTGCCAGGTGGCCAGAAGCAGCTGAGAGAGGTGGTTGCCAGCCCTGAGCCATAAAAGGCTCTGAAGGACACCCAGCATCTGGAATCACACTGGGAAGCCAGCTGGCACAAAAGATGGGTGCCCAAGTGTTCCCACTGCCATCTCCTGAACCAGCCACAGTTTAGTATAATGTATGTGAGTGCAGAACGCATTGCGTTTCGTCATCCAAACAAGAGACAAATGGTTGTAAGAAGTTCTAAAATAAATTTAAACGAACGAACAAACAAACAAACAAATATTCAGCTTCTCCATCAAGATTTGTTTTGTAAATGATCAGACAAATGTGTGAATATATGAAAAAGACATTGATGGGGGGAGTTTTATATCGCTTTTGGATGTTACAGGTGTTTTGAGGACCAGCTTCCCCTCCACTTCCAAGAAAGTATGAACTCTTGAGAACTTTGTATTTCAAAAGGAAGTGTTTACTGGAAGGGATGAAAGCAAGTCAAAAGTCAAAGCAGGCTCAGGACATGCAGGGCATGCAGTTCAGGATAAAGGAAATTAGGAACCCCCTCCCCACCTTCCGATGTGGATTCCGATCAATCCGCCGGTGTGAATGTGAATTGCACCAGCCTCTCTGAGAAACAGATATGAAGAGCTTCTCAGGGTCACCTTACAATCCGCTCGTTCCCCCCACCTTCTCTTTCATTTCCCGAGATGTGAGAATTCTCCAGGCATTCCTGGCGCCAGGCAACGGTTATAAATCAGGGTAAAGTTTATACAAAGAGGATCAGGCAAGAAATTGGATACTTAGGACACATAGGAAAAGAACTAAATATGACTATTTCAAATCCCTCCCTTCTTCCACGAAGAATGGCAGATACACGGATCTGACAGGTGTGTTTCTGCACCCCCTCTGGCAGCTCTCTTGGCTCCTTGTTCTCAGCATTTTGAGGGTGGCAGGTTGGAAGATCAATCATCCATCTTCCTGTCAGTTTTAGAAGGAAAGGTCTATTCTGTGGACGTGGTGTGTTTATAAATATTTACTTCTGATTGATTGTCAGACCTCACACCAGCACAGCAATAACTAAGAACATATTGATATGTAGACTGCTGGATCAGACCCCTGGCCCATCCAATCCAGCCATTTGTTCTCCTACAGCCCACCCCTAGGAAGCCCACTCATCTCCCAGCAGTTGACCTTCAGAGGCAGCCCTTTGGCCTCCAAGGATAAGGATTCTCAACCCCCAGGACTTCCAAGAATTGACTTGACCCTTCTTTGAAGGCAGCCAAGCTGATTATCAGCACTGCATCTTGTGGTAGTGAATTTCAAATTGAATGACGTGTAAAAAATTTTTTCTTATGTCCTGCTTCTTCCAGGATTCCCTGTCAGTGGGTGACCTCTGGAAAGGGAACATGGCTTCTCCCCTTTATCCACACCATGTACACCTCCATCATGTCTTCTCTCATTCAACTCAAAAGCCCAAATGTCACAGCCTTTCCTCACAGGGAAGCTGCTCCACCTTTTGGCCTCCTTAGTTCTGCTCCTCTTAGCCTTCTCTAGCTCTGAGGTGCAGCAACCACAACCGCACACAGTATTCCAGATACGTTGCACCAGGGATCCATGCAAGGGCATTGTGACACTGGCCTCTCTATTTGCAGCCCTGTTTCTTATCCTTCCCATGCGGGGTGGGGGGGGCTTTTCTGACAACAGATGCCCCCTGAATCAGCACCTTCACTGAAGTGTTTGCTGTTGCTGCAAGAAGATTTATTTTGTTCTTGGCTGAGAGACCAAATGAGGGTGGATTAACTCAATGGGGAAATCAGAAGGCATGTGCTAAACTGCTTCAGTGTGTATTTCTATCTGTGTTGGAATCACTGCTCTAAAGTAGGAAAAGCAGGTCCAGCTAGATGATCACTGAAGGGCCCTCTTTGTTCATAGTATTGTAGAAGAGAAATTGTGCTTGCAAATGTATCCAGTTGAAATAAAAGGCAGACACATTCCTTCTTTGATGTAGAACCAGTGAGGAGAGGCCCCTCAGTTGCCTCTCAGTTGTCACAGATAAAGACATTTTGGTGAAATACAGTTGAAGGTTAGAGAGGTCAAGTATGACCACATGTAATATTAACAAGAGATAATTTGAATCTATGCTTCAGTAATTGGCTAAAAGAATTATGACTGTTGGCAAAGAATAAAATGAAAGTGTCAATTAAATATGACAAATGTATATGATCACATAAACTGCTGAGTTAACAGAATCCTTTGTCTAGAAGGGTATAAAAACCATTGTACCTAATTTCTGTCTTTTGTTCAGCGCTTCATGTACAGAGCTTTGAACCTATTGTGCAATATACATTGTCTCTGATTAACCCCGAAAAGTTGTGTTGGTCTTATTAAATCCACAACAGCTCGTTTCATCTTGTTCTGTCCTTCAAGAAAGATAAGGCATGAATTCTACCCACTTCAGGCATGGAGCTGCCGTGATGCCAGACGCTAATCAGATTTCTTTGGCAGCCACTCACAAGCAGCTCTAGTAAGTCAGGAGTTTTACGAGAAGACTTCAGGATTTCTGACACCATTTGGAGGAATGCATTTGGGAGGCTTACACAATTGCTCCAAAATGCAATGCTTGTACAATAGGACAGGGGTGGGGGGCTGTTCCAGGAACACAAAACTGACATGGCTCTCACTGTTTATCCACACATGCTAACCAGATCATCAGTCCTGACATTGTGTCCAGTGTGAAAATAACTTCAGAAGAGAAAGTCATAAGGCACGCAAGAGACACAGAGGCATTCTGGACAAGGCGGACTGTAAAAGGAGATGATTCGTCTCTCTCCAGAAGCAGCCATGTCAAGAGAGCAGGAATCCAGCCAGGTTCCAGCAGCGGCCACCCAAGGGAACATGGAGAGCTGACCGGTGCAGGTTGCAGCCTCTCTGGGCCTTCCTCAAGGGCAGTTAAGCATCAAATGCAGGAAGGCTGGAAAGAAGCCAGCTCTTCAGCTTGGTGTCAATGTAGCCATGGATGCGCCTCATTCTGGGTAAAAATGTCCTCAGATTGGCCAATCAATCTGAATAATGTTTCTGAATAAGAGAATGGTTTTGTCTTGAGACATCAACACACCAAGAATGGCTGTTTTTCAATGACAAGTTTATGAGCAGACAAAAGAAATTGAGTGGGTAGGGTGGGCTGTGTAAGACCTCATTTTCTAAGCTGTTGAATTGGGAAGGAAGGAAGGAAGGAAGGAAGGAAGGAAGGAAGGAAGGAAGTTCTTATGTGCAATCAACACATTATCTTCTACCCAGGTCATCAGTATGAAGCTCCAGCTCATTGGGAGAAATAGCCAAGCCATTGGGTACTTTCCCAGAGTACACCTAGGAAAACCAAGCCCCACTTGCCACACCTTAAGGTGACCAACTGGTGCTGCTTTTCCACTGGATGCTAATGCTGGGTGGGAAGGGAATCTTCCCACCACAAGCTGCCCCTCACTGGTCTCCAGAGGCAAGGAGGTGACCACGGAGAAGGCATCCACAGTGTTAGATCAGGCGCAGGGAAAGAAGACGTGACCAGCTCGATACATTTAGTAACTTTATTGCAACAGTAGCAAGACTGGCGCTGCGCTGCCAGAGCTCTCCTTATATTCGCTCCGGCAGACGCACCGCCCCAAAGACAGCTTCCCACTCGAGGCTTGCAGCCAATCCGGACGGATGTCCTTATAAGGACATAACACTCCTCCCCCCCTAGTTCTTAGTTTGTCCATCAGTCACGTAATCGCGCAGGTATGCGGGACGCCGAGAAGTCCTAGATGACCTGCGCAGTCCCATTCTGGCTTGGTCGTCTTCTTGGACGGAGGGGGCTCCTGCGTCTCCCGGTTCCCTCCCTGGGAACGGGCAGGATCCGGCCATCGAGTGCGTGGGCTGGGTCCCCCGCGCCTCCGGCTGGGTTTCGGACCTCCACCTGCTGGTGATGCTGGCCTTCTCCCCTGCCTGGGCTGTGGATTACTTGCCGCTGACTGTCATCGCCGACCGGTACGGAACTACTGAACCCCGGTAAGTCCCTAGTGTCCCGTTTGTCTTTTACCGGTTTGGTGGTGGCTGGTTCCGGTCGGGGGTTCAGGTCTTGCGGCTCCATCTGGTTCTGGTCCTGGTGTCCCTTGGTTGAGGCCGGTGCCCTCCCATGGTGACTGCTGGGACATGGTGGTTCTTGTCTGACCTTGCCGGGGTGGTGTCGGCCTCCTTCGCAGGGGTGGCGTAGTCCCTCTCTGCTGGGTTGGCGTTCCCCGGGTGGTCGCTGGCGTCTGCTGTCGTTGTATTGGAGTTGGTCGTCCCCGTCGGGTTGGTGCAGGCCTCCCTCGCGAGGGTGGTGTAGGCCCTCCTCGCAGGGTTGGTTTGTATCTTGTCTGGGGTGTAGTTGGTCTGCCTGGTCGGGTTGCTGTAGGTCTCCCTCCACGGCACTGATCTTGCTGGGGCGATGTGGGACTCCCGCTGTGGTCGGGTACCGGTCTACTGGCTCTTTTTGGTGGAGGTCTCCCCTCTCTGGGTGTTGTTGGCCAACCTCATCGGTGCGTTGTGGTGTGCGGCTGCCCTCCGGGTTCTGGTCTACTGCCCTATGGTCGCAGGTTGCGAGGTCTCTGGTCCCGGGGTGTCTCCGGCCACCCTCCCTGGGGAGTTGTGTGGTGCCCCCCATGGATGGTCCCCGGTCTACTCATGCTGCGTCTTGATCAATGTTAACGCTGGGTGGTGGTGTTCTTGCTTCGGCGGGGTGTAGGAGACCTATCTCGTCGGGGGTGTGATAGGCCTACCTCGTCGGGGTGTTGCAGGCCCACCTCATCTGGCTGGGGCAGGCCTACCTCTTCGGGGTGTTGCAGGCCTACCTCGTCGGGGTGTTGCAAGCCTACCTCGTCGGGCTGGTTTTCCCCCACACCCTTCCACCTCTTCCGGAGTTGGTCGATGTGACGTCTACAGACCTGTCCATCTTCCAGCTCTACCCAATAGGACTTCGGACCGGTTGTGCTCTCGATCTTCCCCTTCAGCCATTTTGGAGAGCCGTGAAAATTCAAAGCAAAAACCGGATCTCCTATGGCAAAGGTGCGAAGTTGGCGGCTGGCAGTTGCGGGTACCTCTGAGTCGTATTGGGGGTGCAGTCTGTCCAGTGGTGACTGGAGTCTTCTGCCCATCAACAGCTCCGCCGGGCATTTTCTTGTGGTGGCATGCGGGGTGATGTGTTGGGTGATGCATCGCAGGTGAGCCTAATTGGGAGCGTCTCATTGTATTGTATGAGGATGCTTTTGGATGTTAACAGTCTTTTGATGGCCCGGAATGCTGCTTCCTCCTCTTGGTCCCACTTCCAGAAGCCGCTTTCCCCAGCAGGCGGTGGAGTGGCTCAGCAATCGTAGCTTTCTGTTTGAGGAATATTGCATAGAAGTTAAGCAATCCAAGGAATGCCTGAAGCTCCATTTTGTTTTTTGGGCTGGGAGCTTCATGGATAGCTTTAACTTTTGATTTGGTGGGGTGGATGCCTGTGCCATCTATGAGATAGCCCAGGAACTCGACCTCCTGGACCCCTAAGATGCATGTATCTCTCCTGACTCTCAAACCCTTGGCCTTGAAGCGCTGCAGGACAAGCCTGGGTCTTTCAAGGAGTTGGGCTTTGGAATCTCTGGAGATTAGTACATCGTCGAAGTATGGCACCACCCCTGGAACGCCTTGGAGAAGGCATTCTTTCATTGATTGAAAAATTCCTGGGGCAGCGCTGACTCCAAATTGGAGACGGTTACATTTGAATGCCCCCCTGTGAGTAACGATTGTTTGGGCCTCTGCCGTTTTTTCTTCTACTGGCAGCTGCTGGTAAGCCTGGGCCAGGTCCAGTTTGGCAAAAATTGAGCCAGTGCCTAGGGAATGCAGCAGATGCTGCACCACTGGCACCGGGTATGCGCTCTGTGGCAACGCCTTATTGATGGTACACTTATAGTCGGCGCAGATGTGCACAGATCCATCATGCTTCAGTGGGGTCACAATGGGGGTTTCCCATGAAGCATGATCGATAGGTTCCAGAACGCCTTGGGCGATCAGCTTATCCAGCTGAGCGTCTACCTTGGGCCGCAAAGCGAAAGGAAACCGGCGGGGCTTCAGCCTGATTGGGGTGATTCCCTTGTCCAGATTAAAGGAGATTGGCTTTCCCACAAATTTCCCAAGCTTACCATCGAAGACTTCCTTGAACTCTTCGATGAGATTGTCGAGTTCGTCCCTCTGGATCTGATGGATGCCTCCGATTGATAACCCTAGTGGCTTGAACCACTCCACTCCCAGCAGGTTCGGGCGGCTGTGTTCCACGACTGTGATGGGAAGGTTGCCTTGGAATTCCTTGAAGGCAATGTGGAGTGTGGTTCTGCCCAGGACACCGATGGGGTTTCCTCTGAAGTCCATGAGCCTCGACCTCAGGGGCTTTAACTGGTTCTTTTCACAGGCTGGCTTCAGGTGCTTCAGATGTTGCCAGTCCATAATGGAGTAGATGGAGCCTGAATCTACTTCCATTATGCACGGTGACCCCTCTGCCAACAGTGTCACGTTGAATTTAGTGGCACCGTTGTCGCTTGTGTGGGCGATTGTGGTTTGGTGCACTGCTCTGTTGTGAGGATATTCATCGTCTCCGTGCCTGGACTGGTTCGAGGACCGTTTGGATGTCCTCTGGGTGTCTTTGCGATTTTCGCGGAATCTTGGCCTGGGTGGTTCCGGGGCTGGATCTGCTGCTCTGCATGCTTCGGCTATGTGTCCCCTCTTCAGGCAACGATGGCAGGTCGCGTCACTCCATCTGCAGTTTGCTCTAGGGTGGTCACCTTTGCAGCTGCCGCAGCGTTCCCCCCGGTCGCCATGTTGGGGATTTTCCCGCCTGGGGGGGCGGGAAACCTTGTGTACGGCCATTTCCTCATCAGATTCGGATGGCGTGGCAGAGTCATCTGAGGAATTTGGGCCCAACTTGTGGATCTTGTGGATCCCCCTCGCCTTCACCATTGCGGCAGCTGCTTTCTCAGAAGTCTCAGCGGCTGTGGCTTCTTCAAGGACTTCCTTGAGTGGGATCCTCTTGCAGCTCAGGAATTTCTTCTGGAGACCCACATCCCACATCCCGAAGACGATGCAGTCCCGGATGGCATTATCAACGTTGTCAAATTCGCAATTGGCAGCGATTTGACGAAGTGCGGCCACGAACACTTTAATGGATTCACCTTCCCATTGACTCCTCTGCTGGAAGGTGAATCTGTTTGCAATCGGGGTGCCTGTGGGTGCGTAGTGTTCCTGTAGGACTTCCTGCAGGTCACTCCAGGACATCTCCCCAATATCTCTGGGCGCCATGAGGTCGATGGCCATCTCTAGGACGTCAGAACCGCAGTGGGCCAGGAAGAGGGCTCTCTTGCGTTCATCGTCGAGGTTCTGATAGCTGTTTCCTCGGAGGAATTGCCAGAATCTGACCATATACGACCTCCATTTCTCTCTTGCCAGGTCGAATGGATTCAGCGACGTGATTGGTGCTTGCGGATTTGCCATTCTGTAGGATGCCGCGGTTGGGTGACTTCAGCTCGGTTAGGCGATCGTGCCACGCGTCTTGTTCAGGTTCTCTTCTCTAGTCCTTCGTCGCCAGTGTTAGATCAGGCGCAGGGAAAGAAGACGTGACCAGCTCGATACATTTAGTAACTTTATTGCAACAGTAGCAAGACTGGTGCTGTGCTGCCGGAGCTCTCCTTATATTCGCTCCAGCAGACGCACTGCCCCAAAGACAGCTATTCAAACTTCCCGCCCGAGGCTTGCAGCCAATCCGGACGGATGTCCTTATAAGGACATAACACACAGGTAGGTGTAGAAGAAGCTTGAGAAGCAGGAGGGGGGCAGGAGAGTGTTGGGAAAGGGATGAAACTGGCTCCTCCATGACCACTAAGAGAGAGGGAGGGAGGAAAAATACAGGCAGACTTATTTGCAAGATCTTCTTACTAGAACCTTTCTCAATAAAGTTGAGTTCAAGTCAGGGGTGGGTTTCAAAACCCATTGTTAACGGTTTGCTTGTCCGCGTGCATGCACTGCTTCTGTGCATGCGCAGAAGCGTCCGGGCGGCTGGGCGGAGTCTCCCGCCACCACTGCTATCAGTTCGCCCAATCCGGGGCAAACCGATAGCAGCCCACCACTGGTTCAAGTCTACCTTTTAGGGCTGACAGCAGCTGAACTGATGTCAACATGTTTTTATGCTGCCTCAAGGACCAGAGGAATGCTCACTTACTAGGCCTAGAAGAGCCCAGAAGAGTAAATGAGGGGGTTTAAATCAGTAAGCTACAACAACCTTCTCCACAACTTACCAACTGCATGATCAGTGTGATACAATGATCTACACAGCCCTGAAGTTAAAATCCAAATAAATTTGCTTTCCTGGAATTAGAATACAGAATAACAAAGATGAAATGGACTTTGGAAGTCTTCTAGTCCAACCCCCTGCTTAAGCATTACCAAAGCATCAGTATACCATTCTGGACAAACGGCTGTGGAACCTCTTCTTAAAAGCCCCCACAACTTCCAGAGGCAAGGTGACACACTGATTAATTATTCTTACTGTCAGGAAATTTCTCCTTAGTTCTATATTGGATTTCTCCTTGATAAATTTCCATCCATTATGTCTTGTCCTGCCTGCAGGCGCTTTGGATATTAGATTAGATTAACAGAGTTGGAAGGGACGTTGTAGGTCATGTAGTCCACCCCGCTGCCCAAGCAGGAGACCCTACACCATTTCTGACAAATGGCAGTCCAGTCACTTCTTGAAAGTCTCCAGTGATGAAGCACCCACAACTTCCAAAGGCACCTTCCGTTCCATCGGTTGATGGTTCTCACTGTCAGAAAATTCCTCCTTATTTCTAGGTTGACTCTCTCCTTGATCAGTTTCCATCCGTTATTCCTTGTCTGGCTTTCAGGTGCTTTGGAAAATAGCTTGACCCCCTCCTCTCTGTTGCAACCCTTCAAATATTGGAAGATTGCTATCATGTCTCCCCTGGTCCTTCTCTTCACTAGACTAGCTATGCCCTATTTCTGCAACCATTCATCGTATGTTTTAGCCTAGTCGCCTAATCATCCTGGTTGCTGTTCTCTGCACTCTTTCTAGAATCTCAACATCTTTTTTATAGTGTGGTGACTGAAACTGGATGCAGGACTCTAGGTGAGGTCTTACTAAGACTTTATAAAGTGGTATTAGTACTTTACTTGATCTTCATTGAATTCCTCTGTTAATGCAATTTATGATTGCATTGGCTTTTTTGGCTGCTGCCACACACTGCTGGTTCATATTTTGTCAGAGTTTCTTGCAAAAATCAAATCCAGAAGCACACACAGATAACTGATTCAGCTGGATTCATTAATGTCTTTATGTATATAATAACAGATGAAGTATTTACAATACTAATTAGATACTTCTTCAATATAGTAGCAGGAGAGAACAATTAGTTTCATTTCAGCAGAGCAGACAAGCAGACAAGTTCACACTCTGGTTTCAGTTTTGTTTCTCTGCACAGACTCAGAAGCTGCAGTCTAAGACATGCCCTGGCTCCAGTCTGTCTCAGCTCCCAATTGGCTGTCTTAGTTGCTATGCCTATTCATTGGCTGACTTTGTTACCATGTCTTCCCAGTCATGAATATTCTGATATATTTAACTGATTGTCTACTAAGTAGGAAGAGCCTGTAGTACAGTGGACTAAGCACTGTTATTAACATCTGCTGCTTGCAATTACTGCAAGTTCAAATCTCACCAGGCTCAAGGTTGACTCAGCCTTCCATCCTTTCAAAGGTAGGTGAAATGAGGACCCAGATTGTGGGGGCAATAAGATGACTTTGTATAAATATACAAAAGTATGAAGGCTATTGCTTAACGCATTGTAAGCCGCCCTGAGTCTCCGGAGAAGGGCGGCATATAAATTAAAGCAAAAAAAAAAAAAAAAGTCTCCAAGATCCCTCTCACAGTTACTGCTATTAAGCCTGGTTTCACCCAGTCTATATGTGTACTTTTGGTTTCTCTTGCCTAAGTGTAAGACTTTGCTTTTCTCTACGTTGAATTTCATTTTGTTAGATGGGGTCCAGCGTTCAAATCTGTCAAGATCCATCTGGATCTTGAGCCTATCTTCTAGGGTGTTAGCTATTCCTGCCAGCTTAGTTTTAGGTTGACTCCCTCTTTGCTGTGACAGCCCCTCAAATACTGGAAAATGCTATCATGTCTCAATCCCCTGCTTGAACTATTGCATGTTTGATGTGGGGGGCCTTCCATATCAAACTTGTGCCTGTCAAAATAGATGCTGAACCTTCATGTTCTCCTTCCATCATTCAGACAACCAGGACCTGGATGACTAAGAATATCCATAGTCAGTCAAAAAGGAAACATAGATCCTTTAAAAGGATCTATGGGAAACTCAACAGGTCTATCAAAAAACACCTGGATGGATTAAAGAATGTGAAGCTGAATTTAATAAAATCAAATAGAATAATATTTAATAATATTAATATAATAACAGCAGAAATGATTAAAAATTGAGTGAAAAGAATTAAAAATTGGAATTTCCTGGAAATGATCAACTGCATGGCTTTTGGCTCAAATATCTGACCGGCTTACATCCAATTATAGCTAAACATCTTAATGAAGTATTCATAAAAGAGAGATGAGCAACTGGTTAATAACTGGCAGATCTTATCTGTTTCAAAAAGACCCAGCAAAAGGGACAATACCAGGAAACGACAGGCCGGTAACATTCTTGTCTAGAAGGCTTAAATTAATCACAGGCATAACAGCAGACAACATCCAAGATTATTTAGGAAAAAAGGGGGAGGGGGGCAGATTGTAAGCAACTCACTCTTGAGAGGCATAACAGCTTTAATTTTACCAGACCTTTGGTCTCTCTAATTTCAGGTGTCTGAAATTCAGATGAGAAAAAAAACTGACAAAACTCCTCATATTTGCTGATCACAGGCCATTCTTATGTAGCTCTAAAATCAACAGTCATGCCACACAGAGGTAGAGTAGGTTGGAGGTGGGTTTTTCTGCCAGCTGGTGTGATACAAAGCCTTCTTGAAAGCCAGATTGTAACACTGGCAGAAGAAGGTTTTCAGAGTCATCATTCATACTGATGTCCAGCATGTGACTTACAGCTGATACTTTAGACTGATAAGTATATGGTTTGAGGGGTCAGCTTTCTTTCACCTTTGTTGAGGTGAGACAATTGACGTGAGAAATAAATTGAAATATTATTACACTTCTCCCCAACTTTAGGAACGCGTGTGGCGAAGTCAATGAACGAAAAAACCAAAGCCAGAATTCCAGGCTGCCTTTCCTGACTGATGTTGTGTCCTCATTCCCGGGTCCCCTGGGGGAGAGACCACATCCAAATCTAACATGCCAATGGCTTATTCATCCCTGACAACGCCCTGTCGTGTTCTTCCTAAACTGCTGCGCAGGAATTGAACCGAGGTGCTTCTGCCATGAATGAGATGCACTCATGCATCAGAAAAGTGCTGATCTTTTGGAGGGGGTTGCAGTGACCAACTGTTTGCATGCCCTCCTCCTAGCCTCTCTACTTTGGAATGGCATTTCCACTGGGGGTTTGGATGCAGGAAGCTCTGCAGAAGGAAGCAGAATGGATCTTCTCCTCCTGCTTGGGAGGGATTGATCTTTTGTCACTGGCAGCCACAGAATGTTTCTCAATGGGATGCCCTGAGGTCATTGGCAAGCTTGAATTGGTGTGCGACTTTCCAAAACTGATGGCTCCTACAGGAACCTGGAAGGGAGGAAGGAGCAGTGACTCATGTTCTGATCAGGAAGAGATGATCATGAGGATCTGCTGATCCATCAGTCTTTCTTCTGCTTCCTGCCAGAATAGTCTTGCCTGGTATAATTAAAACTTTCTGACATGATACAGGTTCTCCTGCTTGAGCAGGAGGTTGGACTAGATCTCCAAGATTCCTTCCAACTCTTTATTCTGTTGTTGTTTTTTCTCATCCAAGACAAGGAAGGAGCTTCCTTACTTCATAAATCTGGGAGTTCTGGGGTTAAAAAGACATCACCTTTGCTATGGTGACATCTTCTTTAGTCTTTAGTCTTTAAAAGTCATCAAGTTTGCTGAACATTTCAAAAGGTTTTTGATGCAGCTCCGCAGCCCCACATGGTCACATGCTAATGTGAAGAAACCTTTCTCTGCTCTCCGAGGTGATGAATCAGCAGGGTTCTTGAGAGTCAGCGAAGGTGGCCTTCTCAAGGCTGCGCAGCTTATCTTTCCCAGCAGGCTTCTTATGGCTTCTTATCTCCCACTCTGTCTCTAAGGAGTTTCCTCAGCTGCAGGTTGAGAAACTCTTTTCAGTGCTGAATTTGCTGCTTTCTTGCAGCAGGAGCAAGCAAAGGCATCTTGCCAAGGGAAAGGTTTCAGAGGGAAATTCTGAAAGCCCCTTTTGTGGAAATATTAAAAAAGAAAGTGGCATCCACAATTGGTGCACCGGGATGGTAAATTGGCGGAAGGTAATCAGAATAACAGAATAACCAAATTGAAAGAGACCTGGGAGGTCTTCTAATCCAACTTCCTGCACAAGTAGGAGACCCTCTACCATTCTAGACAAATGGCTGTCCAATCTCTGCTTAAAAACCTCCAATGATGGAAGACCCACAACTTCTGGAGGCAAGCAGTTCCACTGATCAATTGTTTCAGGAAATTTCTCTTTAGTTCTAGGTTTAGTTCCAGGCAGAAGAAGATTGTCATGGCTTCAAAATCTAAGGGACTGGTTTGGATAAAATTCAGCAGCACTTTTTTGTGTGGCTGTTGATAAAAATAGGATTGCCAACATGATTGCCAACATCCAATGACGGATATGGCACAAGAAGAAAAAGAAGTTCTAGGTTGCTT